TACATCTGTATTAGGCCTCCCCAGAGAAGCAGAACCAGTCAAATGTGAATAAGTAAGTCGGAAAGATTTGGCCCATAATATTTTGGAGATTGACAAGTCTTAGAATCTGCAAGTGGCAAGGGGGAGGCACAGGAGAGCTGAGGGAGACCCCCCCCAGGTGACCTGTGCTCCACAGCTGACGCCCAGGAGGGCAGGGGTGCGGATCCACAGCTGACACCAGGGGGGCAGGGGTGTGGATCCACGGCTGACGCCCAGGGGGGCAGGGGTGCGATCCACAGCTGACGCCCAGGGGGGCAGGGGTGCGATCCACGGCTGACGCCCAGGGGGGCAGGGGTGCGATCCACAGCTGACGCCCAGGAGGGCAGGGGTGCGGTCCACGGCTGACGCCCAGGGGGGCAGGGGTGCGATCCACGGCTGACGCCCAGGAGGGCAGGGGTGCAATCCACGGCTGACGCCCAGGAGAGCAGGGGTGTGGATCCATGGCTGATGCCCAGGGGGGCAGGGGTGCGATCCACGGCTGACGCCCAGGGGGGCAGGGGTGCGGTCCACGGCTGACGCCCAGGGGGGCAGGGGTGCGATCCACGGCTGACGCCCAGGAGGGCAGGGGTGTGGATCCACAGCTGACGCCCAGGAGGGCAGGGGTGCGATCCACAGCTGACACCCAGGGGGGCAGGGGTGCAATCCACGGCTGATGCCCAGGAGGGCAGGGGTGCGGATCCACAGCTGACGCCCAGGAGGGCAGGGGTGCGGATCCACAGCTGACGCCCAGGGGGGCAGGGGTGCGATCCACAGCTGACGCCCAGGGGGGCAGGGGTGAGGATCCACAGCTGACACCCAGGAGGGCAGGGGTGCGGATCCACAGCTGACGCCCAGGAGGGCAGGGGTGCGATCCACAGCTGACGCCCAGGGGGGCAGGGGTACAATCCACGGCTGATGCCCAGGGGGGCAGGGGTGCGATCCACAGCTGACACCCAGGAGGGCAGGGGTGCGGATCCACAGCTGACGCCCAGGAGGGCAGGGGTGCGGATCCACAGCTGACGCCCAGCAGGAACCGATAGTCTGATGAGTCCAAAGGCTGGGAGAGAGTGGTGTCCAAGTTCCGGGCATGGAGGCAGGAGGACACCCCCCTGCCTCTGGCCTCTTGTCCTATCAGGCCTTGCCCTGGCGGATGCGCTCGCCTACCGCGGCGGGGCACCCGTTGTACTGTGTCGGCCGAGTCCCAGGTTTTCTCTCCCAGCAGCCCTCAGAGGCACGGCAGGCAGACGTCGGGTCATCTGGAGTGCGGTGGGGTCACCAGCGTCACACCTTCTCACCCAGACGCGACAGCTTTGCACAGCTTCCTGCCAACGTGGCTTGATCACCAGAGGGCACCTTGGTCTCCTCCTTCCATATAGATGTACTCCACGATCATCCCTTAGGCTTAACAAACAGGACATTTTTCAGATTGGCACTGAGCTCTAAAAATCGTCATAAATGTTCCACAATGACAGCTTTGTGCCCTTGGGCCAATTAACGATCTGAGGATAGAGCCTTGGAGAGGACCCCGCGGCCCGCCCGGCTCTGCAGCTCCGTGGCCTCTGGTCTTCTCCGCACCGTGTGGACGCCGGGTCCTGCTCGGCTGGGCACGTCCGTGCTGCATCCTCCCTTAGCTGTGTGTCACGGTTCTGCCTCCGTGCACGTAACAGGGCTGTCACCCGCGAGGCCGGAACTCCCGCGGATCAGCCGTGTTCCCCATGTCAGCGCTCACTTTATGAAGAGAAACACTAGGAAAAGGAAAAGGGTGATTCTGAGACTGGTGCTCTCTAAATAGTTAATACTGCTGGGGATTTTTTGGTGGGTTTTTTCCATTTTTAGAGCATCACATCAACTAGTTTTTGGGTAATTTCTAACCAATGTCAGGAATTTCTAAACTAGTGATTAGCGGATCCAGTGACTGGCAATCATTAGATTCCAAATAAAAAAAAAAAAATCACGTGATGAGCCGTGTTTTCTGCTGTTCTGGGTCAGACTTTAGGACTGGGATGCGTGGGTTCTGAAGCCTGCCGGAGACATGGTGCTGGACCAGGTCGAGTGGACAGCGGGTCAGAACCGCTGGGCCGTTCTCGAGATCCCGTGAGGCTAAGCCAGGGCAAGCCAGGAAGACTGTCGGCGGCGACAGCATGGCAGAGGGGCTGAAACGTCACCAGCTCCTCCTGGAGCCTCCCCAGCTCCCCGAAGCCGCCCTCACTTCCCCCATTCACTCCTCCCTCCCGTGAGCCACCTCGGGCAGCAGAGAGCAGAGCCCAGCGCGGCAGCCCCGGGGGAAGCGCGTTTTCTGTGTCAGTGGCAGGAATTCTTGCGCGAGGGGCCAGAGAAGGTGCAGGGACAGTATCGGTCCTTGTGGAGGGAAGCAGGGTGGAGTGAAATAAACAGGGGCGTGGCTGGGAGAAGGGGAGAGGCCAGAGGAGGGACTGCAGGGGAGGGGCGGTCCCCTAGGCTGGATGCCTGGTCGGTTTCCGTCTGTGCTGATTTCCTTTGATGTGTATGTTGTGCCCATTTGCGTGGTCGCGGTCTCTGCACCGCGAGTGTGTTCTGGTGTTGGAACCGTTGGAGCCCTAGGATTAGCATATGTGTGGGAAATCCTGGCCTGGACGAGGAACAGCACGGAGAGCTGTGGTCGGGTCTGAGTCAGTTAGGGGCCGGCTTCCAGGACAAAAGGAGGCTGTCGGGACCGAGGCGGCGTCCTCCCAGCTGTGTCGGGTTAGCCTCGTTGTCCTGTCCACGCGGGCCGATCGTAGACAAGGGGTGGCTTCCATGGAGGACGTTAGATAGCTCAGAACAGTGTGAAGTGAGCACGGTTTGTCCTCGTCACGAGCGAAGCGAGAAAACCGCGGCCTGCCCTGCCGTGCCGTGCCGTGCCGTGCCGTGCCGTGCCGGAGAAAGCGGCCTGGAGCTGCCCAAGCACTTTCTGCAAACCAGTTCACGAAAATGCAAAGCCGGGTCCACGTCATCGGGCTAAAGAAACTGCGTGTGTGCACGCCAGAGCTGCGCTTGTCTAGCCACCCTAGGAAAGGAGGGGGCCAGGCAGGCTAAGGCCTGTCGTTCTAGAAGCTGCTCTCTGAGCAGCACCCACAAAGCCTTTACCTTTCCATGGAGAGGAAGTGGGCGTTGCCACCTCGCCGGTTTGCCGTCCGGTCTCCTCTGTTCACTGGGAGGTATTGCTCCGCTAAGCAGGTCGTGCAGGTGAGACAAAATTCACTCTGTGCCTGTGGTCACTGCCTCTGCTTCCCCAAAAGAGCGGTGTCTGCCGTCGGCCCCACCCCTTGGGACACCTGAAGTGTCTGTGGGTCCACAGCACATGCCCTGGACAGACCTAACCCTGGGGCCACCTGAGCGATGCTGGCTTGCTTTCTGAACAGGTCTCCGAGGGGCTGAAGCCAAGTTCAGTGCAGGGTCCACTCCCGAGGTGTGCAGGGCAGGAAACTGGGCCCCCGCTGGTCCCGGAGCCTCCTGAGCCCTGGCCGGAGCCCGTGCGTGTGATTCCCTGGGTGGGTCGACAGCCAGAGTCGATCCCACAGGGCTGAGGCTGGTTGTGTCTCGCACCTGTCACGCGAGGGGCGTTTGACTGGGAGCGCTGCAGATCAAGGCAGCCTGAAAACCACCTCGCATCTTCCTCGCGGACTCAGCTCCAAATCCTGCTGCTTCCGGCAAGGCGGGCGGACCCATGTTCTCCGAGGCGGTTACTGACGAGGAGCTCTGGGGTGTTGGCCTGAGTAATTAGTTTTGCACATCTGCGCTTGGGATCCCTGGCTTCCCCAACACCCTAACTGTGAAGCCCTGGCGCTTGCAACCCAAGACTAGGGCTGGTGTGAGAATTCGCCCGGGCCTGCAAACCCTGGGGATGAGCAGGCGTGGAGAACGCACTCACTGTGTGACTGGAACATGCACTTTATTTTTCAGTCACTTGCTTTATTTCCCCAAATCAATCGTCACCTGAAACCTCAGCACTTTCTTTAAAGGTAATTAATTTATTTGAAAGTCAAAGTTGTGGGGGAGGGAGGGAGGGAGGGAGAGAGAGAGAGAGAGAGAGATCTTCCATCCTTTGGCTCACTCCCCAGATGGCCACGATGGCTGGGGCAGGGCCAGGCCAAAGTCAGGAACCGGACGCTTCACCAGAGTCTCCCATGTGGGTGCAGGGGCCCAAGTACTGAGCCGTTTTCTACCGCTTTCCCCGGGCCATCAGCAGGGAGCTGGGTCAGATGTGGAGCAGCTGGGCCACTAACTGGCACCCGTCTGGGATGTCAGTGTCATAGTCGGTGGCTTTACCTGCTACGCCACGCCACGCCACGCCACGCCACAACCCCAGCCCCAACTGCAACACTTTTTCAGAACCTTCCAAAGATGGCCCAAGCATGTGAGCCCCTGCACCTGCGTGGGAGACCTGGAAGAAGCTCCTGGCTCCTGGCTTTGGATCGGCTCAGCTCCGGCTGTTGCAGCCATTTGGGGAGTGAACCAGCAGATGGAAGACGTCTCTTTGTCTCTCCTTCTTACTGTCTATAACTTTGGCCTCTCAAATAAATAAATAAAATCTTTAGGAAAAAAAAAACCTTCCAAAGACCCAGCTAATCTCATATGTGGATTCGCCACAGGTCCTAGAAATGCCCACCTTGGCAAACGTCATCTTTTATTTCCGGATTTTTTTTCCTTTACAGTAACAATATAAATGCAACATCTGAAAAAGCACGGTTTTGTGTAATGTCATAGGAAAAACCGAAGATGAAATGTGAAGTGGATAAAACTGGACATAAAATGTAATAATCTCAACCATTTTAAAAAACAATTAGGCTGGCGCCACGGCTCACTAGGCTAATCCTCCGTCTGTGGTGCTGGCACCCCGGGTTCTAGTCCCAGTCGGGGTGCCGGTTCTATCCCGGTTGCCCCTCTTCCAGTCCAGCTCTCTGCTGTGGCCCGGGAGTGCAGTAGAGGATGGCCCAGGTGCTTGGGCCCTGCACACACATGGGAGACCAGGGGAAGCACCTGGCTCCTGGCTTCGGATCAGTGTGGTACGCTGACCGCACAGCCATTGGAGGGTGAACCAACGGCAAAGGAAGACCTTTCTCTCTGTCTCTCTCTCTCACTGTCCACTCTGCCTGTCAAATAAAAATTTAAAAAATTAGGGAACATAGCAAAAATAGTTTGGGATTTTAAATATTTTTTGGTGCTTATGAGTTACTTTTCTAAAAGAAATTTGTGGGGAGGGGATTTGGAATTGACCCAGTCGTGGGGACGCTGGGAATACGTGGATGAGGGGGGTCTCCTCGGCCTGCTGTCCGCCTCTGGTGGCAGAGGGCGGGTGCGGGGCCACGGTGGCCCTGTCCCGGGACCCGGGGATCCCCCGGCCCTGACTTTGTCCCAGGTCAGCATTTGCCCAGCTGCGAGGCTGAGAGCTGGTTGTCTCAGGCGCTGGGCGTGAAGGCACAGTGGTGGCCATGGGGAGCAGGCTTCATCCCAGAGGCTGCATGGACGCGAAGGTGGCAGTGTCTGTGGCCGAACGTGGGACGGAGGGGCATCCCGTGGGTGCTAGGCCTGAGCCCGAGTGGACACAGTGGCTCCACAAAGGCGGGCGGGGCCTTTCTCACCTGTGCAGTGGAACCGCAGCAGGTTTGCCGGCAGAGCTGTGGAGGCCTCGGAGGGTGTGCCAGGCCCGGCCTCAGCCCCAGCACGGCGCCCAGCAAGGCCGCGGGGGCCCAGTGGCATGCGGGGGACGGTGCGGTGCCCGGAGTGTGAGCCCCTGCGTTGGTTCCAGGCTTCCAGCCCCTGAGGGAGCCCCTCCTGCTGGAAGGCCTGGCACGCGCTCTCCAGCCGTTCAGGAAGGGGGACGTGACCCCAAATCTGGGGCGGGGAAGAGGGCAGCCACCACGGCAAACACGCTGACTTCCACTTGAGTGTTTCAGCTGACACCGTGGGCTGACCCTCTTAGTTGAATGTTTTCAAGGTAGAACATGAAATAATAGTCAAAAGTTACGGTTCTATTGATACGTGACCAGGCACCATTCTAGATTAAATTATTTATTTTTATTTAGTTGAAAGGCAGAGAAACAGCAAGAGAGACCTATCACACATGGGGTTACCTGCCCCCCGACATGTCCCCAACAGCCAAGGCTGGGCAGGCCAAAGCCAGGAGCTGGGAACTCAATCCAGGTGGGTGGTGGGGACCCAGGGCTCCCAGGGTGCCCGTGAGCAGCGAGCTGGATGGGAAGTGGAGGCGGGACTGGTCCCAGGCCCTCTGTCCCAGCAGCCAGGACTGCTGTGCCCCCAGCACTTTAGATAGCAGAGTGTTCCACTGGCCCCTCACAAAGCCCCATGACTGGCAGCTGTCTCCCCACGCCACAGTCGAGCCGAGTGAGGCTCCCGGAGAGGCTCTTGGTGACGTGGCTGCTAACCCTCGCTTCCCGCCTTAGCCCAGCAGCTGTGTTCAGCAGAGGTGTTCACACACGGTGCACAGGGAGAGGTGTTCACACACGGTGCACATGGAGAGGTGTTCACACACGGTGCACAGGGAGAGGTGTTCACACATGGTGCACAGGGAGAGGTGTTCACACACTGCACGTGGAGAGGTGTTCACACACGGTGTACATGGAGAGGTGTTCACACACGGTGCACATGGAGAGGTGTTCACACACGGTGTACATGGAGAGGTGTTCACACACGGTGCACAGGGAGAGGTGTTCACACATGCTGCACAGGGAGAGGTGTTCACACACGGTACACAGGGAGAGGTGTTCACACACAGGGTGCACAGGGAGAGGTGTTCACACATGCTGCACATGGAGAGGTGTTCACACACGGTGCACATGGAGAGGTGTTCACACGGTGCACATGGAGAGGTGTTCACACACGGTGCACATGGAGAGGTGTTCACACACAGTGCATAGGGAGAGGTGTTCACACACGCTGCACATGGAGAGGTGTTCACACACGGTGCACAGGGAGAGGGGTTCACACACGGTGTACATGGAGAGGTGTTCACACATGATGCATATGGAGAGGTGTTCACATGTGTACATGGAGAGGTATTCACACATGATGCATATGGAGAGGTGTTCACACACGATACATATGGAGAGGTGTTCACATGTGCACATGGAGAGGTGTTCATACGTGCACATGGAGAGATGTTCACACGTGTACATGGAGAGGTGTTCACACACAATACATATGGAGAGGTGTTCATACATGCACATGGAGAGGTGTTCACACGGTGCACAGGGAGAGGTGTTCACACACGATACATATGGAGAGGTGTTCACACGTGTACATGGAGAGGTGTTCACACATGGTGCATGTGAAGAGGTGTTCACACACGATACATATGGAGAGGTGTTCACATGTGGTGCACATGGAGAGGTGTTCACACTGCTCACACTCAGTACACATGAAGAGGTGTTCACACGTGGTGCCGTGCCGAGGGAGTCACACCTGGCGCACGTTGCGATTGTGATTCCACGGCACAGACTGGCAGCAGTGGGCGTGAGGTTCTCCTGCTGAGTGTCTCACTCCGTGGTTAGGACTCTTCACATATTTTTGAAGTTGTACGGGCGTAACAGCGCTGAAACACCTTCCCAGTGTGTTTCATTTTAGTGTTTCTCGGATGATTATAATGTCAAATTTTTTTTTTTTTTTTTTTTGGACAGGCAGAGTGGACAGTGAGAGAGAGAGACAGAGAGAAAGGTCTTCCTTTGCCGTTGGTTCACCCTCCAATGGCCGCCGCGGTCGGCGCGCTGCGGCCGGCGCACCGCGCTGATCCGATGGCAGGAGCCAGGAGCCAGGTGCTTTTCCTGGTCTCCCATGGGGTGCAGGGCCCAAGCACCTGGGCCATCCTCCACTGCACTCCCTGGCCACAGCAGAGGGCTGGCCTGGAAGAGGGGCAACCGGGACAGAATCCGGCGCCCCGACCGGGACTAGAACCCGGTGTGCCGGCACCGCTAGGCGGAGGATTAGCCTAGTGAGCCGCGGCGCCGGCATATAATGTCAAATTTTAAAAACTACACTTATGCCAGATTTGCACGAGCTGTTTTGGAATATTACATCCGGTTGGTGTCTTGTCCTGAGGACTCAGAGCCCACGTGGACGTCTCAGTGCTGGGCAGCAGGCGCTTGAGAGCAGTGCGTGCACTCCCTGTCCCTACCCTCTGCGCTCCCTCCTTTCCACAGCCATAAAGCACCGGGGGGCGGGGGTGGGTTCCGGGGTTCCCGCAGCAGAGCCCCCCCCGGATGGTTGACCCTGACTTTATTTGCCCTGGGCTGACAATCGCGCTGGCTGGCCGTGGCCGTACCCCTGTGGTCATACTTCAGGGCCACCAGGCTCCAGGGAAAGTGTGGTCCCTGCGTGGTCAGGGCCACGGCGCTGTAGGCACAGGGACTCGCTGAGGCCAGCCCGCTGGATTCTTCTCACAGCTAGGATGGAGACCAGAGCCCAGGCACCTCGGGCAGCTGTGTGCCTCGGGTCACAGAATTCCTTTACGCCAGAGGCACAGGCGCAGAGCCCGTGGCAATAAGGATCACCGGCCGGGAGGGGGAGCCCAGGGGGGTGCGGAGCAGGTGCTGCTGGAAGGCAGGAGGGGAGAAGCAGGCAGAGCCGGGGCCTGAGAGGGGCCGGGAGGGAGGTGGGGTTTACAGCCATGGCGACGTGTGATGGTACGTGCAGGAACGCCCTGGCGGCTGGGTGGGTGGCTGGGGCCCCCGGGCCTCTGCAGGTGTTGGAGGGAGGGCAGGAGATCCGGGCACACACAGCAGGTCCCTGCCTTCTCAGGGGACGTGGGCTCCTCGCCCACCCTGGGAGTGGGGTGGCAGGCGGACTGGGGCAGTGTGGACGGTGAGACACATCACATTTCAAAATTCCCATTTTCCAGGGAAAACCGAGGCTGTGCTCAAGAACTTCAGCCCCTACTATAAGCGCCAGCACGCGGTGGCCTTCTGCGGTCACGTGCGCCGCCAGGTGGAGCAGCAGCGAGAGGCAGCGTCGCAGCTCCTGAAGGCCAAGGTAGGCGGTGAGCCCGCGAGGCCCTGCAGGTCCTGAAAGAATCCTCAGCTGTGGGGGTCCCGCCGGGCAGGGGGAGTCAGACTGCACGCGCTCCCTCAGTGGCGGAAGCCGCCTCGTCAGGAAACTCCTGTAGCCCAGTTCCCACATGCGTGCTTGTGTCCATAGTGAAGGCAGGTTTGTTTTATCCATCCATCCACTTGTTTTAAATTCATACCGCAGAGCTGGAGAGAGGGAGAGACAAAGAGAGAGAGGGAGAGACAAAGAGAGAGGGTGATCTTTCATCTGGTTCCCTCCCCAGATGGCGTGGGCCAGGCTGCAGCCAGGAGCCAGGAGCGTCATCCAGGACTCCTGTGTGGTGACAGGGGCTTAGACACGTGGGCCATGCCCTGCTCTCGCAGGCACATTAGCAGGGAGCTGGATGGGAAGTGGAGCAGCCGGGACCCAAACCAGCGCCCGTGTGGGATTCCGGTGTTGCCGGCGGCAGCTTTACTTGCCGTGCCCTGACATCGCCCGAGGTCAGTTTTAAGACGTCGGATGTCAGTGCCTGTTGCGTGGGCGTGGTGAATCTCATCACTGAGCCGCACGAATCTCTCCACGAGTCGCCTGCTCCGCTCCCTCTTTGTAGCCGCTGAGCACAGACAGCTCCACAGAGACAGCCCCCAGCTGGTCTGGGGCGCGGAAGGCGTCCTTCCCCGAGTTCATACTCAAAAGCAGGAGGAGGCAGCACCAGGAGTGTCAGGGAGCAGGTGCTATGAAGGGCAGTAAAGCGAGAGTCTCCCGCCAGAGCCGGGGTCTGGGGACAGCCTCTGCGTGACCGACGCGTGGAGAGTCGGCGGGCGCAGCCAGTGCAGAGGCCCGGGGGCGCCCTGGGCAGAGCCGTGTGCGGGGCGCACTGGAGACTGGGAGGCCCGGGGCCCGGAGACTTCCAGGCCACGCCGAGGGCTTGGATTTGGTCGTGACTCATGACAGGAAGTCCCCCGAGGGAGCAGCACGCGAGCAGGGGGGCCAGGAGAGCAGGGCGCTGTAGCATCCATAAGGACGAGGTGGCGGGTGTGGGGCTGAGAGGCCCGGCCTTTTGGTTCTGACCTGAGCGAGGAAGCGGGTGGAGTCATCCTCCCCGGGGCAGGAAGCGTGGAGGGGGTGCGAGCCCCAGCCGCAGAGCTCTTGGGGCCGGGACGCCTGAGCCCGGGGGTGCTTTGTGACAGACACCCCTGGGCGTGGAGGAGCCTGGGCCGGCTGGGGCTCAGGGGAGGGGGCAAGGCTGGGGAGGAGAAGTCTGGGAGTTGTGAGGCTAAGACGTGGGGCATCGTGGAGGGAAGAGTGTAGATGGCTGAGAGGCCACGTGTGGAGACCAGAGCGGGGCGGGGCCCAGACAGTCCGGACAGCAGGAGAAAGATCTGGGAAGGGAAGTGCAGGGTGCGGGGAGTGGGGCGTGTGCCGATCCCAAGGGGCTTTCCGGAAGGAATGAGTAGGGGGCGGGAGGATGCTTGCAGGAGGCGGAGTCACCAGCACATCCCAGGGCCGGCCAGCCGGGGTGCACAAGGAGAGCAGGTTGTTGTCCCTAATCACAGGGGACAAGTTCCGGCCCCATCTCTGGGGCTGCTGGTCCAGGACGGCGGGGAGGAGGCCCCAGTGCCACAGCCCGCCAGAGGAGCTGCGCACAGGAACCGTGCAGTACAGCGGGCTTGGTTTGGGCCTCGTTTAACGAGAGGAGTGGGAAAAATTGGGGCTGATGTAGAAGCCATTGCCTGCGGTGCCGGCATCCCGTATGGTTCAAGTCCCAGCCGCTCTGCTTCCAGTCCAGCTCCAGCTAATGCCCTTGGGAAAGCAGCAGACGGTGGGCCCTGCACCCACATGGGAGACCCGAGGGAGCTCCTGGCTCCTGGTTTCAGCCTGGTCCAGCCTGGCTGTTGCAGTCGTTTGGGGAGAGACCCAGCAGATGGAAGACCTCTTTCTGCATCTCTCCTTCTCTCTCTCTGCCACTCTGCCTTTCACATAAATAAATAAATATTTAAAAATAAAAGACAGTAAAGAGAGGAGTGAGGTCCTCCCAGTGAGGCGAGACAGACACGGCCTCATTTCAAGGGGTGGCATTTTCACAGGAGCTGAGTTCTTCCCTTACACGCGTGGTAAAGAGATGGCCCCCTCCCCAGTCTTCTCCATGGCTCTGGTGAAGTGTCGCTTGAAAGCAGCAGGATGGCTTCCCAGAGGCGCCGTGAGGCTTTAGTAAAGGGAAAATCAGTGTCGGCGGAGTGCAAGTGAGAGGCAGAGGCCATGCTCCACGCCACGCAGGGCGGGGGCGGCACCGTGGGGCAGGCTGGGAAGTGCGCTTACGCAGCTCATCCAGCAGAAGCCCTGCCGGGGAACGGAGTGGAGCCCCCCAAGCACAGGCGTCGCCACGGCTGATGGGCAATGCAGAAGAGGGATCTGTGGCTTGCCGGCTGACGCCTGCCTGGCCTCTCCTCCGACAGCAGACACGGTCTCCTTGCAGAGCTCAGGGTGGCCGCCTGGTCCCAGCACCGACTCCGCAGGCTGCGCTGGCAGGAGTGATGAGGAGCGGAGGAGTCGCTAACCTCTCCCGCTGGCCAGGGGTCCCCCGAGGCACCTGCAGGGTGCGGGGGTGATGTCCGTGGCTTCCACTTGCCTGCCACACTCGGGCGTTCATTAAGTGCCTCGTGAATGCAAGGCCAACCCTGTCACTACAGCCTTTCTGCCTCGTGCGTCTGTTCCTGTAGCATAATGGAGGGCAATGAAAACCACGGGTGGGACCGGCGCTGTGGCGTAGCAGGCTGAGCCTCTACCTGTGGTGCCGGCACCCCACATGGCTGCCGGTTCTAGTCCCGGCTGCTCCACTTCCAACCCAGCTCTCTGCTGTGGCCTGGGAAAGCAGTGGAGGATGGCCCAAGTGCTTGCGCCCCTGTACCCACTGGGAGACCCAGAAGAAACTCCTGGCTCCTGGCTTAGGATCCACCCAGCTCCAGCCATTAACAGCCATTTGAGGAGTGAGCCAGTGGATGCAAGACCGCTCTCCACATCCATCTCTCTGTAACTCTGCCTCTCAAATACATAAAAAATCTTTAAAGAAAATCATGGGTGTGCCGATAGGACACATGTTTGCATTCGGTTAAAAGTAGGACGGGGGGGGGGACAAAGTAGCCCCGGGACAGCCTGCGGCATGCCGGGGATGCCCTGGTGGGGCAGGGTACTGGCCGCTTCTCGTGACCCCTGACTGCTGTGTGTCTTCCTGAAGCCACCGCTGGAGCCTGGAACGGTTTTGTACGAAGCAGAGCTAACACAGTTCGCTGAAGACATCAAGAAATGGAAGGACAGGTACATCGTGGTCAAAAATGACTTTGCCGTGGAGAGCTACGAGAGCAGAGAGGTGAGTCGCGTCCGTGCTGCGGTGGTCTGTGCCACGCCCTTGTGTGTCCACTGGGTTGACCGGAGGGAGCTCTCCCTAGGGACTGAGCGGTACGGGTGCCCACTGTGGTCCCCCCATGGGTGTCTACTGGGGCGCAGGCTTCTGGGTCCACAGCCGTGGAGCAAACCGATGCTGGCCGTCTAGTGGGCAAGATGGGCTCTGAGCAAGTGCCCCCCGGTGACTGTGATAGAAGTCGGAGCTCCGTTCTCGTTCATGAAATGGGCACGGCCCCATCCCTGTGCAGCCTTGGGGCCCACCTGACGGGCGGCTGATAGAAGCCGGTGCTGGGGTTGTCGTAGCCTAGAGCACGGCTCACGCCTGGCTACAGTCTGGGTCGCGTCACTCTGTGCGGTGGCAAAACCACACCACCAGAGCTCCTCTGCTTTGTTCCGACCCCGATGTGCTCTGGCTGCTGTCCTGCCCAGGATCCCACCAGGGCGGGGACGCTGAGTTTGCGAGCGGAGTGGGCCCTGTTACTCTGTCGTAAGCCAGATCGGCCGCCAGGCTCCCGGTCTCGCAGTCTGGGTTTCAGTTCCTCACTGCTTCCAGGTTGCTGTTTGCAAAATGCCGCCTCGTCCGAGGGCTCCGGCTTCTCCATCCCCGGCACCGCACTGCAGAGCCGCAGCAGGGGCAATGCGCGCCGCATGGTGTTGGGTCAGCATCCTGATGTTTGTGGTGAAGATCCACGGCACACTCACTGTAGGGACCTGTCCCACGGTCCCCGGGTCATCCCCGGGCTCACCGTGGCCAGCCCCCAGGCGTCTTGGGCACTGACGTGTGACTGTCACCTCGTGGTTATTACCAGAGGGCCCTGGGGGCTGGTGACCGGAAGGGTCACTCGGGCGGGCCGGTCTGGAAGTTCCTGGGATGTGTTCTTCCCACCCGGGCCTGCCCGCCCTGAGCCTCCCTGGGGTTGGGGATCTGGCCTGCCGTGTGTGGAATGTGTGCCTATCAGGCGTTAATTGGCATTGCTACGTGATTATTGATACACATAAATGCAGCCTGGAGTTAACATGGACAGTTAAACACGTGTCTGACAGGTGCAAATATTCCTTTATGTGTTTTTCTAAAGACTTGTTTATATACAAACATGATTTTTGAATAAATGACTAATTCATTGACTCAGCCTGTGGGTGGCTATGTCTGGGTGTGGGTAAGGGTCTGTCTGTATTTTTCTGATATTTTCCAAAAATCCAAACAAGGAGAAGACATTCATTTGCACCTTTGCTTCCCAGGCCTATCAGAAAGGAGCTGCTCCGAGGACCAGGGTCCTCCCAGTGGGCGGCAAGGTGTTCACCTCGCAGGCCGAGTACAGCCTGCTGGCCGACAGGCACTTCCCTGACCCTGCAGGTGAGTGGTCAGCGCCCTTCCCCAAGGCCACTGTCTCTCCTCGCCGGCTTGCTCAGCCCGGCCTGCGGCTCTCAGTGGGGTCAGGGCCCCTCCCAGCCCCCCAGGTGGGACGTCTGGCTGTCTCTGGTCTCTGGGGGTACTTTTGGCTGCCGGGGGGAAGCTGTGGGGGTTTGGCGGCACACAGGACAGCCCGATGGTGAAGGGTTACCTGGCGTAAGTGATCAGGAGGGCCCAGCAGACAGACCGTGGGCTAGAGCCCCAGGCCCATAACGTCTGCTGCTCCGGTCCCGCGTGCTCACCCCAGATTGGTGTCTGTGCTGGCGGCCCACGGGAAGCCACTGCAGGCCCGGTGTGGTGACGCCGCGGGAGCAGGAAGACACCATGCCCAGCCCGTAGGGCACACTCGGTTTTCAGTAGCAAGGCTGCACCTGTTAGAGAATATTCTTCTTGAAGATTTATTTGTTTATTTTGGAACTCAGAGAGAGAGAGAGACAGAGAGATCTTCCATCCACTGGTTCGCTCTCCTGATGGCCGGCACTGGGCCAGGAGCTTTATCCAGGTCTCCCGTGTGGGTGCGGGGGTCCAAGCACTTGGCCCATCCCCCGCTGCTTTCTCAGGCCATAGCAGGGAGATGGATTAGAAGAGGAGCAGCCCATGTTCCGGGACGCCGGCACTGCAGGCGATGGTTTCCCCGGCTACGCCATGACGCCGGCCCCAGAGTCTTACTTTCTAATTCTAGGGTGATAGGCAAGAAAATGTCCTAAATTGATTTTTAAAAAAGCCCTCTTAATAAGCGTTAGAGTGCCGCACAGCTATGTAAACACAAAGCGTGGCCTCACGCGGCTGTGGGTGCAGCTGGGAGCCGTCACGGATACGGCACTGGGCGGAGAGACTGGGCTTCCGTGTCCCCGCTGGCCCCGTGCCGCACAGTGCACGGCGACGGCTGCTGCCCGCTGCTTTCTGTCCTGCAAACCCAGAAGCATCTTCCCGGCGCTGGCCTTTCTGAGTCTCGCTCCTTCTGTTGTGTTCACGTCAGGAAGGTGAGGCGTGACAGTGACCCAGCGGAGAACTCCGGGGACCAGGGGTGTGGGGGCCGTGCCCTCCCGCCCCGCCCCGGCCTTGCGGCCGCGACACCAGCGCTTGCTCGGCTTCTTGCTGGAAACGCGGCTCTGATAACCAGATGAGATCGTTTGTAGAATCCGTGCGGGAGATACCACGTTAGCCACAGGACGCTGAGCCTCGTGCTTTTTTTTTTAAGGTTTATTTTATTTATTTGAAAGGCCAGAGCTGGGCCGATCCAAAGTCAGGGCCCAGGAGCTTCTTCCAGGTCTCCCACGTGGGTGCAGGGGCCCAAGGACTTGGGCCGTCCTCTGCTGCTTTCCCAGGCCACAGCAGGGAGCTGGATGCCCCAAGCCTTGTGCTTCTCATGTGACTAGACAATTAGTACATGGCCCAGGAACCCAGGTTAAACCGCTTACTGGGAAGTAAATTCAGCTAAAGCCACTGTGCAGGTGCTCTGTACACCTGATTGCATTTTGTACATTTCCCCCACACCTTGGCTGGGGCTGCAGTCGGGGATGGAGGTGCCTACAAGTTGGCGCCGTAGACGCTTCCAGAACCTTCCATGACTTCAGTGGGAGCAAACAATGTATGTGTTGGTTTCCTGTGAAGTCGTGAGAAGGAGTGGAGGGAGACACAGAACACAGGCCTGTGTGCTGACATCAGCTGGCCCAGGCTGCAGACTGGGCATCGCCGTGACCAGGGTGTGTCATGTGCTGTGGCCTTTGGAACGTTGGAAACAGAATATTCCGCGGGAGATCACGGTGACGTTCTGTAACCCAACTCGGAAACACGCAGGCCGCCGGCGCGTGGAGACTGGACTAACGGCAGTGGAAGTCATGGGGCTGGAAGCTTTGCAGTGCCAAGGCCAGTGCAGCTTTGGGCTCCCGGTGACACCTACACGGGCTTGCCCCGCGTGCGAGGTGGCGTCCCTGGGGAGGCTGCAGGCGCGGTGACCTGCCTAGGAAAGGGATTGATCGCGTGGGGTTGTGCTGGGACGTCTGTGGGACACACCCCCGCGTTTGCTGGAGTGACTCGTTCATTGGGTATTTTATTAGCATTTGATTTGCTACACACAACCAAAAACCAAAGTGTGTGAGATTTTATGATCTCACCAAAGATGCTCAGACGTGAGCCCAGGGTGGGTGTGGCGGGTCCATGCATTGGCCAGGGACTTGGGCTCTTTCCGTTCCCTCCCCTGCCCACTTCTAGGCTGTGGCCCTTACTGGCACAGTCCAGGGTGGCTGCTGGAGCGCCAGCCGTCACTTTGTCATTCCAGGAGGGGGAGAAGGGGAGGGCCACTTGCCACCTCCGTTTACATCCCATCGACCAGAACTCAGTAACAGGGGAGGCTGGGAAGGCAGTGTTTGCCCTGAACACTCTCTTGCCGTGCTGAGAAGGCAGGGCACAGCGGGTCCTGTGCCACGGCCACAGCCTCCAGTCCTCAGGGGCTCAGCCGTCAGCTCTGCCCAGGTCATCCTGTGCCGGGCGCTGGGGGGCCGAGCTTGTCCCCCAAACCGCGCGTTGTGCGTCTGACTCGGCTCCCTCCAGGCCCAGGACCCGGAGTGAGCGCCTCCGTGTGCCCCACGAGCTCTCTTCCTGAGTTACACGGGCCTTGAGTCATACTTTGCCAGCAGCCACCTGGGCGTCTCCGTCCACTCCTTGGACGGCAGTGCACCCCCAAGCCCCTGACGGCTGCCCTCCTCCCATCTTTCCCCGGGGTTGCCGCCCTCCTCCCGTCTCTCCCCGGGGTTGCTGCCCTCCTCCCGTCTTCCCAGGGGACAGCCACCCTCCTCCCGCCTTGCCCCGGGGTTGCCGCCCTCCTCCCATCTTGCCCCGGGGTTGCTGCCGTGCAGGTGGGCGGCCGGCACGGACGGACTTGACTCCTGCCGCTTCTCCTGGGCTCTGGGAGTGGTCGGTGGCTCACCACCCAAGCACAGCGCGGTGGGGCCGGGTGCCTGGAATGGCATGAGGCTTACAGAGGGATCGGTTTGACAAGATGAGGTGAAAGGCCTGCTGTTTAGAACTTCCGAAATTGTCTGGGCTGTCGCAGCACCAGGTTCCGTGACTGTGCGGGGAGCCAGGGCGCAGCCCCTGTAAGACACAGCAGCTCCCGCCCCCAGGCGCTCACAGCAGGGGGTCTGCTTCCTGGGGAGAGCGAGGCCGAGAGCACCCAGCTCTGCCTCCCGTGGCAGGGGCCGGGCCAGCGAAGCTGTCCCCAGGGAGACGGCTTCTGCTCTGACTTTGGAAGATTGAGTGAGGGGAGCCGGCACTGTGGGGCAGTAGATTCAGCCTCCGCCTGCCGTGCCTGCGTCTCGTATGGCAGTTCGAGTCCCGGCTGCTCCACTGCTGATCCAGATCCCTCTAATGCGCCTGGGAAAGCGGTACAAGATGGCGCAAGTGCTCAGGCCCCTGCACGCACATGGGGCACCTGGAGGAAGCTCCTGGCTCCTGGCTCCGGATTGGCCCAGCTCTGGCCGTCGGGACCATTTGGGGAGTGGGCCAGTGGATGGAAAATAGGTCTCTGCTTCTGCCTCTCTGTAACTCTGCCTTTTACATAAATAAATAAATAAATCTTAAAAAAAATAAAAAGCACACCGGGAACCAGGGGGTGGGTGCTCCCCGATGCTTCCAGAGGAAGGCGTCGCTGGCAGCCCTGGTGCTGCAGACGCGGTTGTCAGGACAGCTCCCCAAGACGAAGCCAGGGCCTGGCGGTCAGGATGCCCTCAGGAAGCTGGTGGCTGGACTGCAGGTCTCTGCCCGGGGTGGGTGTGCAGAGCAGCCAGAGCTGTTGACAGCGACAGGAGGAGGGAAGCCAGAGCCTGTGGCGACAGGAGAGCAAGCGCACAGGGGACCCACAGGGGCCATGGGACATGAGGAGGCTGAGAAAGAGAGCGCCTGGTGGCCTTGGCTGTCCCCCTAGGAGGAGCCGCCTGGTGGCCTTGGCTGTCCCCCTAGGAGGAGCCGCCTGGTGGCCTTGGCTGTCCCCCTAGGAGGAGCCGCCTGGTGGCCTTGGCTGTCCCCCTAGGAGGAGCCGCCTGGTGGCCTTGGCTGTCCCCCTAGGAGGAGCCGCCTGGTGGCCTTGGCTGTCCCCCTAGGAGGAGCTGCCTGGTGGACAGGACAGGGAAGCTTTGGGGATGGGGGAGGGGGCGGGGGTGGTCAAAGGAGCCTGTGAGGGCGTCTCCCACCACCTCTCCATCCTGTGCCCCGGCACCTGCACGGCTTGGAGCAGGCGTTTGCAGTCAGGGGCGCGTGTGTTACACCACCTGTTTCCGCTGTGCCCTTAGCCTCCGGCGAGAAGGAGACCCCGCAGCCCCTGGTGGCCCTGCCCAAGGAGTTCCCGGTGGTGCTGTGGCAGCCCTTCCTCAGGCACGGCTTCTTCTGCTTCGCCGAGGCCGCCGCCCAGAAGAGGTTCAGCGCCGTCCTGAGCGACTGCATCCGCAGGCTCAACCACGGTAGGCCCGCCCCTCCTGCGGCCGCGGCTCCGCCCCGTGCTCTGGTCACCCACCTGCGCAGCAGGACAGTCACACAGAGCCTCGAGGCGCTGCCCCAGGGAGCAGAGACGGAGGCTGGGAGTGGGGGCTGGGGATTGGTGCGTTGTTCGCGCAGAGCGCTTAGCACGGAATCCACCCCCTCCTTTCCCGGTGCTTTTCATCTGAAGGCCAACAGACGTGCCGGCCGCCCTGGCAAAGCCCTCATCTGTCTTTATGCGCCTCGTGTATCGCCACCCTCCTGCTGCCTAGCACCAGGCTCCGAGGCCCAGCTCCCCGAAATTGACCATTTGTTTCCTCTCAAACCTGGAGAGTCGGCGCCGGGCACCCGAGGACTGAATGAGCACAGGGTCGGGGCAGCAATGCTGGAGTGCTGATCTGCGCATGTGTGGGGCTGGGCCGGCTCCTCCAGCGGGTGCTGCTGCAGGTGCCGTGCCTCCAGGCTTGGTCTCCGGAGGCTCACCTCTGCAAAATCACCATTGGCTCTGCTGACGAGGGTGGTGGTGTCCTGGGCTCCCTGAGCCCACGGCTGCAGCTGCAAAGGCTGCCGGGCAGGTGTCCCCGAGGGCTCGCTCCGGGCAGCCTCTGTGCAGGCGTGAGGCACTGAGGGCGCAGGTGCGCAGTGGTCCTTTCTGGAGGTCAGCTTCAGGCAGGAGGAGGGCCAAGCACACCCACAATGAGGCTGGTTTTCAAAACCTGACGGCGTCGAGAGTCACCAGAAGGTGACTGCCCGGCAGGGAGGTCAGCACCGTGCCCCATGCCTGCCGGGGCCCCAGAGCAGGTGACACACGAGCCATTGGCCTTCATTGCCCCTTCCCCAGGGGTCAGCCCCAGAGAGTGACCATCACCCGTGATGCTCCCAGCTGGTTTTTGGCATGGGGAGACCAATGGAAAAAGATAAGGGCGTATATGTGTTGCTATGGCAACTCTGAGTGATGCGCGCCATAGCACTGACACATCACTCAGGGACTGCGGGAAAGGGCCCTTGTCCGTATCCCGCCTCGTGGTGTCGAGGTTTCAGAGATGGGGACTTATCCGGCGCCGCCGGCTCCATGTCACCCACTGTGCTGGGCCTTGGTCGAGTGTGGACGTGCGGTGGGCGGCGAGCACAGAACCGCCGATTCCACTGGCACAGAGTGTCCTCGCCCAGCCACTCGGGCCCTGCCGCAGTCCCCTGGCCTTGTTTGTCACAGGGATTTCCCCAGGGAGTCCCTGAGGGTTATGTGGCCTGCGTTAGGCTCTTTTATGGAAGATTCCAGTCCATGCAAAGCCCCGTTGAGCTCCTGTGTTCCACGGGCTCTGAGACCACGAGGCCTGGCTGTGTCGCCCTGGTTAGTGTCGCAGTCGTCTGTGCCCGGGGCTCTCTGCAGGCTGAATCTGGCAGGGCAGCTGGTGGCTGCAGTGAGGACCAGGCCGTCGCCAGCTGGCTGTCTCGGCCGCTCTGTTCTCTGTTGGACAGCGTGGCGGAGCCGCATCCAGTCTCTGTTGTTGTACCATCCTGAGCGAGCCAGTGGCAGGTCCCCAGCACCAGAACACCCCTCCCCCATGTGCCGGAAGAGTTCAGAAATAGATGTGGGCTTAGGGCTGAGACAAGGGCCGGAGCCCCGAGGGGTGCAGGCACGCTGCCCTCCAGCCTGGGTGGGTGGCGGCGAGGCTGTCGAGGGGCCTCAGCTGAGAACTGGTCCCAGACGTCTGTTGGAGCAGGTGGATTCCGGGCCACCGTGGATGGCTGTGGGCAGGCACCCCGTAGCACCCGGGAGGGGGGCGTCTGATGGGTGTGGCTGTCCACACCAGTTCACTCTGCTTCCAGAACTGCTTGTTACTGGCTCCCGCCCGGGGCCTGACCACCCCCTGTTCTTGGGCGATAAGCCTACCTCCTGGGTAGGAGGGCACAGCCTGAGACGCCACCGTGGTTGTTAAACTCGCAGAGGCATAAAGAGCTGTGCGTGTCCTGATTCCAACCTGGGACCTCCTCACTGGGTGGGCGCCAGGGACCCCAGGAGATTTCTCTGTAGCCACCTCGCTGGACTGGCTGGTGAGCCTGCTGAGTGACATGTGCCTGGAGCAGCCGCAGCCCTGACCCGGGTCAGGCCAGGGTCCCGACTGGCTGCTGCCACCCAGTGGGGCCGTGTCGTGCTCAGATGTCCGGGTCGGCCCCCCACGCCTCGGAGTTTGCTTGCCAGATGCGCCCCTGGTGGTTCCGGGCATGCAGACCAACCCTGGCAGTGGATCAGGGGCTGAACGCAGCAGTGGGGGACAGCGGTCAGCATCAGCATGAGCCTGACCTTCGACCCTTGGCCCAGGGGGTTGGGGGAAGGGAGGAGCTGGCCAGGAGAAGGCGACCCTGGCTGGTGAGTGCTGGCTCCGGGAGGGAGGTGGGGCGCTGGCAAACTGCTGCGCCCCCGCCCGTGTTTGCCAGGGGTGAGCAGCAGGGGTGGGCGGTGGGTAGGCGGAGACCATAGCACAAGAAGGGGTTTTTGACAAGAGACCATGGGGAGGCAGTCACTCCGCTGGCCTCCGCTTCCGGTGGCCTCGCTGGAGCGTCCAGGCCCTGAGCTGATGTGGGTTCCCGGCTGCGCTGTGTGCCGTGAGCTCTCGTCCCAGGAATCCCGTGTCCCGTCCAATGCCTCAGCGAGACTTGGCTGTGACACTCGCACGTGCTGGGCGTTCGACAAATGTGTGGGTTCAATGGAACTTTAGGACAGGAAAGGCCCCCTGAGTTGAAAGCGGACGGGCGACGGGCAGGTCCCCGCCGGTGTGCCGGGCTGCACGTGGTGCCCTCTGCCCTCGGCACTCAGCGGCACAGCTCAGGCTGCTCCCGCCTGGGAAGCACACCAGCCCCCACGCACCGGTGTCTGCTGCGGGTGTCGTCAGTTCTCACCGCGAACGCAGCGAGCTGGGCTTGGCGATCATGAAAGCGTTCCCCTGCACTTTGCAGCCCTTCCCCCCGTGGATGGACACACTCGTGTCTGGAGTCGGAAGTTCTAATTTATGCTCACTGCTACAAACAGGTCGTGTCGGAGACATAAAACACAAGGCTTGCCGACAGCTCGTCCCCGCTTTCACTCACGAGAATATCCTATTGCGGAGGCACCCCTCAAGGAGAGCACCGGGGTTACTGCGGAATGAATGGCTAGATAGAGGTTTCTCGCTTCTGTAGAATTCCCCAAACAGATGCTTTGAAAGGACCCTGTGTGCCTGGAGCCACCGTCCCTGCATTCTGGCCTGAGCTGTCAGCCTCGCCTTGCCACGACTCAGCCCCTGCAGGGGTCTCTGTCCGTGGCAGGTGTGTGGCTTCCTCTTAAGAAGCGGTCACTTCGTCCAGTCTGGCCCTGGATGGTTCTTCGTAAATCTCCGAAGTTGGGACCAGCCCTCGGGCCCCAGCCTGCTGTGACCTGGGCTGTGTTGGTTTCTCGCTGAGCAGGGCTGCCTGTGCGGCTGGGTCTCTCCCCAGCGGCCGAGTGTGCCTCCGTCTTTCCCTTAGACGGGCTCTGAATACCAAGTCTTTGGTGCTGTAGCTTGCTCCCTGGTAAAAGTGTGTAAGGCATAAACCGTATCTGGTTTTCTACAGCTGAAGCAGCAACTCAACCTTCTAAAGGAAGCTCACCCTGTGAGGACGCAGGCGCGAGCGCTTTTAGAGTAGCAGATCTGAGACAGGCCGTGTGCTGTTCATGCCCGGGGCTTTACCCTCGTTGCTCGAAGGGCTGGAAGCAGCCAGGATTTGCACCAGGAGCCCCGTCCCTCGGAGACGGGAAGCAGGATGCCTCCTCTGGGCCCTGCTCCGTCGGTCACCCCCAGGGCGTATGCAGCCTTGCACTTGCGGCTGCCTAAGCTGTGTCACCACGGACCGCACCTGGTGCTCACTTCCTCTGTCTTCTCAAAGCAAAACCCCCGACCCCCCCCCCCACTCCCCACCCCCAGTGAAGCAGCCGAAGGCGTGAAGTCGTGTGGTCGCGGTCGTTAAGGGTGACAAGCTGGAACAACAGAGTCAGACCCTCGGGGTCCCGGCCACTGTTGGTCGGTGCTGTTGAGACTGGCAGATCCCGCAACACTGGGCAGTGTCTGGCTTTATGCGTGGGCGGGACATGTTGAGATTGAAAGGCGACAGGACCAATGGGATGGCTGTTTCCACGTGTGGTCAGACACCCTGCAAATGCCAGGACTCCCCGCACTGGTTTCTGTGAACAGTCAACACGCAGGGAGCTGGCAGAAGACGTTCACCTATCTGGGGGGTGGGAGCGGGAGCCAGGCCAGGCGTTCACCTATCTGGGGGGTGGGAGCGGGAGCCAGGCCAGGCGCCGCCGCTCCTTCTCTCTTTCTAAACTCTCAGCTCTGGAACCGTGGCTTCATTGCAGAGCCTATTAATTTAGGGTTATCCATAGAGACTTTTAGCAACGTTTCTCAAAGAGTGACTGATGGATGACTTGCTTCCAGATGACCTTGTATGAGGTCCAGGCGGTGGGGGGGTGGGGAGTACTGTTGAAAGTTCAGATTCCGTGGCTGATGCCAGGGGATGTAGCCCAGGGTTGGAGCATCTGACTGCAAATACAAGGTGTTTTTCTCTTTTTTATTTTTCTGAGGTCACATTGCTGGTAGAGAATTGAGATTTTTATAATATAAAATTAGAGTTTGACATGATACGCCACAACCCAGTACAGTTAAAAAGTAGTAAAAGAGAGAGAAGCAGGGAGTGGCTCAGTGCGCTCAGCATTACTAAGACAAACGAAACCACGCGTCATCGTTTAGCTACGGAACCGCACGGGGCTCCTCACGGATTTCCTGTGTGAAACCTCTTGGGTCTCGCAAGTGAGCTGAGGGGCCATTTCTGTACTGAGCTTTGCATTTCCAGGGGGGCCCATTGCTTTTACCAGTTTCCTTTTACCAGTCCCTGTCCTGGGTGTGTGTGTGTGTGTGTGTGTGGCCCCCTCCCTCCACGGCTGTCCCACGAGACACCGTCTCCCATTGCTACCCTAGTGGTGGCTGCACCCCTCCGACGGGGCAGCCTGGACCAGCAGGTTGGGGGGTCCCAGGGCTCTGCATTTCTGCCATGTTCTCAGGGATGTTGACATTGACCCCCCCACCCCCACCCCCACCCCGGGGCCACGCTGGGAGTGGCCGCAGGAACCCCCGCACCCTCAGTGCCTCTGTGGGCCGGCGCTGCGCCTGTCATCGGCGCCACTTCACAGGTGAGGATTCAGAGTTGGCTTGCAGGACTCGGGATCAGCATAAGATGTTAAAGCCCGGCGGCCCGACCCCAGAGCCATGATCTGGCCCGCCCTGCCGTGCGGCTTCTCAGGGGCGGGCACTGAGCCCCCACCGTGCCAGCGTCCGATTCACAGCTCCGGAAGCGGTCCCATCCAGTTCCTGTGACGGCGGTCACCTGTCGTGGATGAGGGGCAGTGGGCTGCGGCACGTGGTGAGGACGCGGAAGTGAAGTCTTGTCTCTGCCTGGCCCAGCTGGGTGTTGCTGTGGCGAGCTGTGCACAGCAGAGTGCTCCCCGAGCCCGGAGGCCCTGGGCCCGTGCGACGGGCCAGCGTGGAGTGATTTTGGGGGTGTGCCGTGGGGCGAGGCGGGCGCAGGCTCGGTGCTCCTGCCTCCCCAGCCCTCTGAGTGGTTTTAGCACTTAGCCCTTCCTGTTCCCCTCCCAGCATTTTCTGCCGTGAGCTGGGTCCCGTACGGGCTGTGCCGAGGGGACGACCCGACTTGAGCTGGTTTTCCCTCGCAAGCGTTTCCTCGCGGAGAGCGCGGATCGTGTTTGGAGCCACGGGCATCTGGCGGTTAGCAAGATGCTTATTTCAAGGGCTCAGAGAGGGAAGTGAACTAGGAGGAGGAAGAGGGCGGCGGTGACATCATAGCCCCACTTTCGCATCTGGCCAGGCTGGCCCCTGCCTGCCGGGTCTCTCTCCCGTGGTCTGCAGGGGCACCAGCCCAGGTCGGAGCTGCGGCTGCCCCCCGGGGGTGCGTCTCTGTGCCCAGCCTGGCTCCCCGGGGACCCCAGAAGACTGCCCAGACTCCTGACCACTGACACTGGCCATGACCCGCTGTTCCTGGTTTGTGTGTTTACGTCACGGACAAATGACACTTCGGGTGACGTGGGAGATAAAAGTTGGATCAAAGGAAGCCTTGGCTGAGCGTCTGCTGTGTCTGGACGTTGTCTTAACACTGGAGCAAAGCAGGCCCAGGCCGTTCGGACGTGGCGGCACTTTGGCCAGCTTTCTGTTGCTACCATGAAGACGGTCCTTTGGCTCGGAGTCCTGGCGGGGGGTCACAGTCCAAAATGGGGGGGCCCATGGGTTTGGTCTCTGATGAGGGCCCTGGGTGGCAGTGGCAGAGCCTGGGGCAGGGGGATTTCCTGGCGCCCCAGGAGGCACACAGTGAGACTCCGGCTTTTATAACCAGCCTGCTTGGAGGCCACGCCCTCCAAGGCCGCACCCCACCAAGGGCCTGAAACCATCTCATGAGACCCCACTCCCAGACACAGTAGTGGATCAAGCCTCCACCCTCTTAGTACCATTGGCTTCTGACCTTGGGGCTCTACGTCTCGCATGAGCTGCAGAGCCAAATTCTGCTCTAACCCTGGCACCCAGGCTCAGCTTGTAAGGCTGAGTGGACAGGGGAGAGGCCGGGGACATGAGGGGACACCAAGGAGAGGCTGGGAACATGCAGAGCAGGGACGTCCCTCTGTCTCACTCCAACTCTGCAGGGGCTCCGGCTCTAGACCACGGCGAGCCGGGCCACAGGTGCCCCGGGACTCTGTCCCCAGACCACAATGAGCCAGGTCACAGGTGCCCCGGGACTGTGTCCCCCAGACCACGGCGAGCCGGGTCACAGGTGCCCCGGGACTCTGTCCTCAGACCACAGTGAGCCAGGCCACGGGTGCTCCCAGGGACTCTGTCCCCAGACCACAGCGAGCCGGGTCACAGGTGCCCCAGGACTGTGTCCCCCAGACCACAGTGAGCCAGGCCACGGGTGCTCCCAGGGACTCTGTCCCCAGACCACAGCGAGCTGGGTCACAGGTGCCCCAGGACTCTATCCCCCAGACCACAGTGAACCAGGCTACAGGTACGCCAGGAGGTTCTGTCCCCCAGACCACAGCAAGCCGGGCCACAGGTACGCCCAGAGGCTCTGTCCCCAGACCAAAGTGAGCCAGGCCACGCGTGCTCCCAGGGGCTCTGTCCCCAGACCACCGAGAGCCAGCCACAGGTGCTCCCCGGGGCTCTGTCCCCAAGAACACAGTGGGCTGGGCTACACAACCTGACTCCTCCCCAGGGAAGAGGGAAAGACCGCTCCTTTGTCACCTACAAACTCCAGGAGTCTGGATTAGATTCTTTAACGCTGAGGACCAGAGACCTCTCCCCACAGTCCGGTGTTCGCTGATGAGAGTAGTGAGTCACTGCTGCTGAGAGCACTTCCTGTCTGGAGAAACTTCCTGTGTGCCGAGGGAGCCCTACTTCCTGGCACCTTACACCCTGGCTAACCACCGCAGGGCTCTGCCACACGGCGGTTAGTTAAGGGCCTTTGCCGTTATATCAGGGCCATGGCTGACTGGTGTCTTTGTGTGTGTGTCTGTGTGTGTATCTGTGTGTGTATGTGTCTCTGTGTGTGTGTGTGTCTGTGTGTACATGTCTGTGTGTCTGTGTGTATGTCTCTGTGTGTGTATGTCTGTGTGTGTCTCTGTGAGTGTATCTCTATCTGTGTGTATGTGTGTGTCTGTGTCTGCGTGTGTCTGTGTGTGTGCATGTCTGTGTATGTCTGTGTGTCTGTGTGCATGCGTGTCTCTGTATGTGTCTCTGTGTGCATGTCTGTGTATGTCTCTGTGTGTGTCTGTGTGTGCTTGTCTCTGTGTGTATGTGTGTGTCTCTGTGTGTGCGTGTCTGTGTGTGCGTGTCTGTGTGTGCATGGCTGTGTGTGTATCTGTGTGTCTGTGTGTGCTTGTCTCTGTGTGTATGTGCATGTCTGTGTGTGCATGTGTGCATGCGTGTGTGGTCGGGGCTGCCCAGTGCCTCCTCCCCGGCCCTGCTGATGTCATTGTACTGGTGCAGATGCTGTCTGTCATATCCTTTACACAGGCCCTCATGGTTGGTGTCTGACGTGAAAATGGACCAGTACACCCACACACATGCTAAAATACGGGCAATAATAGAAGGGCAATGAAATGTTGAGTTCTCGTGGGCTGAAAGAGATGTAAAACTCCATTATTATTCCACAGATACCTGAGAAGCTGAAAGTGAGCTTCTAAATGTCATTCATTTGAAGTGGATTGATTGACAGTTATGGTTGGGTTCCCTGAATTATAGCGGAGGTCCCTGTGTAGATGCGCGCGTCACTGTTGGTCAGAAAAGTGGTCTAAAAGGTTTCCAGCCCCGGGTTCTCCTCTGGTTTCTGGTTCCATGTTTGGGCGGCTTTGTGTGGAAATGTGGAAGTCGCACTGCTGTGTCCATGCCGGGTGTCCCACCAGGCGAGGAATCTAGATAACTCTTAATCTATTTTTTTTGCTAAAGATTTATTTATTTTTTACTTGAAAGTCAGAGTTACACAGAGAGAGGAGAGGCAGAGAGAGAGAGAGGTCTTCCATCTGATGTTCACTCCCCAATTGGCTGCAACGGCTGGAGCTGCGCCGATCCAAAGCCAAGAGCCAGGATCCAGGAGCTTCTTCCAGGTCTCCGACGCAGGTGCAGGGGCCCAAGGACTTGGGCCATCTTGGCCATCTTGGCCATCTTCTACTGTCTTCCCAGGCCACAGCAGAGAGCTGGATCGGAAGAGGAGCAGCCGGGTTTAGATCCAGCGCCCATATGGGATGCCAGCGGTTCAGGCCAGGGCGTTAACCTGCTGAGCCACAGCGCTGGCCCCCTTAAGCTCTAATTAAGATGTCCTGGAAGTGTGAATTTCGTAACTGACTGAAGAAAGCCCATCCGAGTCAGGACACGGTGACAGAGAGCAGCAGCTGAGTGAGCGCCTCCACGGGGCGGTCTCAGAACTCTGTGTCCGCACCTCCCCGGAAGAGCTCGTCCTGGGACCGCATCTCCCGGGAAGAGCGCGTCCTAGGACCACAGCACTGCTTTCACTGCCCTGTGCCTCTTCCTGCCCCAGAGCTGTATCCTGGGCCAGGGCCTCCCTCCGGGGCTCCCCAGTTTGGTTCTCCGAAGACCCCGGGTTCCGGGGAGCCCCCTCCAGCTCCCAGGGCTGTGCCCGCCTGTCCCCCAAGTGTGCTCACCTGTCCTTCCCTCCGCCCTGTTCTTGCCGCCGCTGCAGTGCCTGCTCATTGTCTGACTCCTCAAACCCGCGGCTCTGGAGGCTGGGCCCGGGCCTTCCGCTGCTGGCTCTCGGCCCTGGGTGTCCCGGGGGCGGTAAGCAGTGCCTGCTTGCACCTGGGTGGTGCCTGGAAGTGGTGAGACGGCGGGAAAGGCCGTCAGGACACCGGGCTCATTCGGTCCATTGGGCTTCTGGTAACAGCCAGGGCGGTTTATTGAGAAGGCTCAGCCCCTGACCACCCATACGGTTGCTGGCTTATCTTGCATTTTTGAAACTGTGTTTGAGAGCTACAGTGACGCTGCAATGTGCTCTCAGCTCAGCGCTTCCTGGCCCCCCCTTTCGTCTTCCCTCTCGGTACAGAGTGTTTGGTGTGTTATCCGGAAGGTCCACGGCAGCCTTGGCCTTCAGATTGCTGGCTGAGACCAGCCCAGTGTCTCAGTCCATCCTCTCTCTGAACAGAACACCAGGCATGGGCGACGCGTAGAGAAGAGGTTGACTCGGCCGGGTCTGTGGGCTGGGACGGGCCGGCAGCACAGGCTGTGTCTGTCCAGGCTCCCTGGCTGCGTCCTCGCAGCCTGGGGTGGGGGAGAGAGAAGGGAGGGGAAAGGAGAGGGGTTGCGGCCGAGAGAAGGAAAGAAAGAGAGAGAGGAGAGGGACAGAGAGAGGCGGGGGGCAGGGGGAAGAGGGAGGCGTGGGAGGGAGCTTTAGTGTAATGAAAGCTTTATTGTCATAACAGTCAATAGAGCTCAAGTTGCCTGACAACCCATTTTCCCAGGGTCTAATCCAGTCCTGCCAGATCTAACTGCTCCCAGGAAGGCAGGGATCCCTTCTGAGGGCGGCGCCCCATGACCCGTGACCTCTTACTAGCACCCCACACACTTAAAGACCCAGTGGCATCAACATTGCCATCCTGCGCACCCGGCTTCCAGGACGGGACCAGTGCGCCAGGCAGAGCGCAGCTTGTTGCGCGATCGCATTATTTAATGATCGCTTTGCTGACTTCCTGCATCACACATCTCTTCCTTTTGCTTAAAAGAACCTTTTAAATCTCTAAAAATTTATTTGAGAGGGCGAGAGACAATGGGAAAAAAAAAGAGAGAGAAAGAGAGAGAGAGAGAGCTTTTCCGTTTACTGGTTCACTCCCAGATGCCCCAGTGGCTGCGGCCGAGCCTGGGCCACAGCAGGAGCTGGGAACTCCACCCAGACCTCCCACTGGGTGGCCTGGAGCCAGCAACATGGCGTCCCGGGCTCTGCAGTAGCAGGAGGCTGGACTGGAGCCACACAGGCCCCTGCGCCCCAGGGGGAGCCACACAGGCCCCCACACCGCAGGGGGAGCCACACAGACCCCCGCGCCCCAGCGCAGAGCGCGGGCATCTTAACTGCTGAGCTCAGCGCCTGCGCCCTGGAAGACACTTTGTGAACTTGATGCCTCTGTTTTCGCTTTGCACAGAACCCTCAGCCCCACTGGTGACCTGGGTTGAGTGACTTCCCGACGGTGTAACCTCAGCACTGCTTCACCCAGGCGGGCTGTGCCTCTCACGAGGAGGCAGCGTCCGAGCCCCAGTGCCCTCGTGAGGCCAGCAGGAGAGGACCCCTTCCCCCAGCCCCACCCTACTCAAGCGAGCGGTGCCCCCTGGCTCACAGACCACAGCAGTGCGTGTAAGGATGCGGCTGCTGCAGAAGACGCTGAGGGAATGCTTTGTACCTCGCAGCTTTCGGAGGTGGCCTTGCCGGTTGGAACGGCAGAATCCTGGCCACCTGGCCTGTGCTGAGCACTGTGTGAAGGCTGACAGCCTCGTGACCCCGGGGAGACGGAGGCGGAGACAGGCGGGGACTAGCCTGGGGCCTGACCCCCCCCCCCCCCCCCCCCCAATGGTGGAGGCCGGACTCCGTCCCGGTGGTTTGCCTCTGAAACCCAAGCTGCTGACTGCTGGGGCCAGG